GGCGAGTCGTGAAGCAGAAGAAGGAAGCATACAAGCGCTGGCAGAAGACCCGGAGCCCCGAGGACCTCGCTGCCTACAAAACCTGCAAGAGGCTTGCGAAGGCTGCCGTCGCCAAGGCAAAGAACACGGAAATGGACGCCTTGTACGAGAAGTTGGAAAGCAGAAACGCAGAGAAGTTCGTCTTCAGACTGGCCTAAAGCCCGGCATCGGGCTACTCAAGATATCAGGGTGGTGAAGAGCGTGAAGAGCAGCAACGGCGCCATCCTGAGGAAGCCAGCCGAAGTTAAGAGGAGGTGGGAGGAGTACTACAGAGCACTTCTGAACGAGGAGTTCCCCCACAAGGACACTCCACAAGCAGAGGCAACGTCTGGCCCCATCGCATGGACAGAGGATGAGGTTAGTCGAGAAGTAGCAAAGATGAAGGTTGGGAAGGCGGTTGGTCCAGATGGGGTGCCAATCGAGGCATGGAAGGCGCTCGGTGAGTATGGGCTCACACGATTCCTCAACAAGGTAACTGCGGAAGGAAGGATGCCAGATGCCTGGAGAACAAGTACTATCGTCCCCATCTTCAAGCAGAAGGGTGACGCGATGGACTGCTCCAACTACCGCGGGATCAAGTTGACTGCTCATACAATGAAGCTGTACGAGCGACTGGTCGACTCGAACTGCGGGAGCTGGTCCCGATCCCCAGGAACAGTTCGGGTTCATGCCCGAAAGGTCTACAACGGATGCCATCTTCATCGCAAGGCAAGTGATGGAGAAGTATCGAGAAAAGCGCCGACCCTGCTACCTAGCCTTCCTCGACCTGGAGAAGGCGTTCGACCGGCTACCGCGAGCAGTACTATGGAGAGCGCTTAGGGAACGGAACGTGCCAGAACACCTGATCTCGCTGGTGAAGGACATGTACGACGGGGCTAAGGCAGCCATACGCACCCCACACGGCCTAACAAAAGAGGTAAACATCACGGTTGGGGTGCATCAAGGGTCAGCTCTGAGCCCGTTCCTCTTCCTCCTAACACTAGATGTCATGGTGAAGGGGCTCATGGAAGGACTAAAGACCATCCTCTACGCTGACGACATCGCCCTGATAGCGGATAGCAGAGAAGAACTACAGGCCAAGGTGCAGAAATGGAAGTCCTGGCAGAAGGTGGGCTCCGGCTGAATGTCAAGAAGACCAAGTTCCTGAGCTCCGAAGAGGGTGCAGAGCCGATCGTGGACGGCCATGGTGAGACCATCGAAAGAGTGGAGGACTTCAGATACCTTGGGAGCGATCTGGCAGCCGACGGAAGTGTGGATCAGGCAGTGAAGGCTCGAGTCAACGCTGCATGGATGAAATGGAGGGAGTCCACTGGAATCCTCTGCGATCGAAGGTGCTCCAGAACGCTCAAAGGGAAGGTGTACCGGACAGTGGTAAGGCCTGCGATGCTATACGGCAGCGAGTGCTGGCCCCTGAACAAGAATCACGAAAGGCAGCTTCCGCTGAGATGAGGATGCTGAGATGGGCCTGCGGCTGGACGCGACTGGACAGGGTCAGAAACGAGGATGTCAGAGCGGTCATGCAGACTGCCCCTGTCCAGCTGAAGGTGAGGGAACAGCGTCTGCGATGGTATGGGCATGTGCTAAGGAGGCCACAGGACCACCCGATAAGGAAAGCGATGGACTTCGAAGCGCAAGGCAAGCGACCGCGAGGAGCCCCAAAGAAGAGGTGGAAGGACGTAATCAAGAAGGACCTAAGTGAATCACGGCCACAGCAGATGCCCTAGACAGAGCGAAGTGGCGACGACTGATAAAGACAGCGGACCCTGCGACTGCGCGGGACTAACGCTAGGGAGAAGAAGAAGAATCCTAAGAAAACGACTGTTTGCTACGAATACCTCGCACTACTGAATCAGGGTTCAAATTTTCAACCTCAATATATCGCGATCGACTGAGTGTATGGAATTTTTACAAATCCTATGATAAGTGACTTACAATTGCGTTGTGGTTGTGATCGTGATTTGCTTGACGATCTCTTAAGGACTGGATATTCTATCTGAAATGGTGTCATGCTTCGTCCAAATTACGCAAATGGACAACTAAACGAATAGTTTACATATACAGTCGATATCCGGGAGTTGGGGTAGGCGTGTCACCGGAAGTGACGTGCACTTGATAGAAGTGCGTGGATAAGCTGTTGCCAGCATGCTTTGCTGATCCAGCGATGTATGTTGGAAGCAGCTTATCCACTTCTATCAAGTCCACGATCTTTTCTGGTGACACGCCTACTCCAACGCTCGGATATCGAGTGTAATTCATTCCCAGCTTACACATTTTTGCTTAATCTCACCTTTGCTTTCTGGCCTTCTCCTCGTCGCAAAAAAGGAAAGGATTTACCAGGAGGTGGCCGCCTCTGTCCCTCCGACATCTCCGAAGCTCAGCTACACGGTGATAAGAATCTAGACCAAACTTTATCATAAAAAACGAAATTTACCTTATGCGAAGGTAAATCCGAGAAATACTGCTTCAAACAGTCAATGATCTGATTACACAAAAGATTTGAAGAACGCAGGTGGATCATTCGCCATATCGACAAGAAATTCAAGCGAAAGTGAAATATTTATTTACTCTCTGTGTTTCACATGTAACAAAAAACAACAACAACTGAGTCATAATCACATGGAAGCTCCTCTTTTTAGTTCACATAAATTGCGGGAGTTTTTACACAAATACTGCTATTAATAAATCTATAGCGTATTCAAATATTTCAACGTAACGATATTCAGAAAACGCAACAAGTAATAAAATCTCAACCGCTACTCTTTCTGTACATTCCTTTCGATTTTCTTCAATAATACCTCCATTTGCGCACCAAGGTTTGGTTGACCTTTCTTGTTGCATTTTCGTAAGGCTTTGTTCATTTCTTTCTTGGAACGAACGTACTTTTCCAAGGCTGCTTGTCTCTTCTCTCGTTCCAGCTGGCGGGCAACTTTCTCCTGAGCCTTTTGTTGCTGTATCCGCTCGTACACTTTTTTGGCCTGCTCATAAGCACTGATTTTCTCCCTTTTCTTCGGCCTGTAAGTAATCGGTTCAGACTGAAGAGAAATCGTCGCGATTGGGTTACTCAAATTCTTTGTTACCAACCGAGATAGTGACGAAGAAGGTGCATGAGCACTGTCATCGGCTCCTTCACCTTTATTTATTGTGACATGTTTGCTTTTACCCGTTTTCATATCTTGGTCCACTCCAATCCGAATTCTTTTCCAGTATAGCAGGTTTCTTGGGAAGAAGTAGAAGATTTGACCTAAATTTTAATGAATGAAACTAGGTGTCAAACAGCTGTGATGCATAGCACAAAAAATATCAGAAAGCGAAGCCTAATGGATCACCAGAGAACTCTGGTGAATGGATCAGTTCTTGGTGGCGCCATTTTAACTTCTGGCCACTCAAGTCATTTGGGACAACATCCACAATCGATGGTGAACATGGAAAGAGAAAAGAGAAGAAAATAAAGGAACAAGAGTAAACGAGGGAAAACCAAAAATTACTTCACCTAACACAATAATGGTCGAGTTCTAATACTTTTCGACGAATGCATATTTGCTTTTGGCTCTTAGGTTATGGGTAAATTGACAGCAGTACTGAGTCCGCTTAACCACTAAAACGTTCAAAGCCTTGCACAAATAACATCCAACCTTAAATTCTCCCTTTGTGGATATGGTTCAGTGAACTACTGCCATTGAGCGACAAGCAAGAAATCTAGCGATGCAAGTGATACGCGTTACATCGCCCTTTTGAGAAGTTCACTTTCTGAGGTTAATCCTGGGAACTGGCATGCTCAGCTTCGCATCTGTCCGAATGTATTTATTTTTGTTTATTTTTATTTTTATTTGGAGACGCGAACGGAGTCCGCGCGAGAGCATACAACAAAGCCCAATAGAACAACACAACACTTGATAAAATTGCAAACGAACTGAATAAGAGTGAAGGTGAAAAGCTTACATTACAACTAAAATAAAACAGAAACAAAGAAGGAGGAAAAAAAGAACTCCGGAAACCCCCGACTGGCTTATTTGTGAATCATTCTCTTGAAAGCAGGCAGCGAAAGCTTGAAAATATCACCTTCAAGCAACTTGTTGAAGTCCGCGAGCACTCTGATAGAGAAATAACTTGACCTGATATTAGTCCTGCTCATCGGAGCCCTTAGCTTCAGTTTACCCCCTCTGGTGTTAGAAGTAACAAGAGTAAAAAAGTACAGGAGTAAACGAGGGAAATACCAGAAATTATTTCACCGAACACAATATTGGTCGAGTTCTAATACTTTGCGATGAATGCGTATTTGCTTTTGGCTCTAGGTTATGGGTAAATTGACAGCAGTACTGAGTCCGCTACCATACAACGTTCAAAGCCTTGCACAAATAATATCCGTAACCTTCAACTCTCCCTTGTGGGTACGGTTCAGTGAACTATTGTTATTGAGCGACAAGCAAGAAATCTAGCGATGCAAGTGATACGCGTTACATCGCCCTTTTGAAAAGTTCACTTTCTGAGGGTAATCCTGGAAACTGGCATGCTCAGCTTCGCAACTGTCAATAGGTTCAAGTACTCGTTCCTCAGCTGCCTTCTCTTGCAGTATTCCATCCCTTTCATCTTCGGATACTCTTCCACATATACCGATGAACGTTGAAAAGACCACCCCTTCCAAGACGAATTAAGTGGAGTTGGTGTAAACTCAATGGCGCATCGCGAAAAAAAACTTGTTCAAAAACTCGCATAGAAGCTTTCCCGCGTAGGTTTAGCGACGTGTCAAGACGTATCCAGTTCTATTGGCAGATGCGTGAAGAGCTCCACCCCTTACACTTCTAGTAGCCCGTAGACCATCAAACTGAAGCCGAGGGACCAGAGACCGAGTTCAAGTAGATCGTAGACCCCGGGGGGGGGAGAGCGGAATCACGGCGCCGCAGCCATCCGAATGAATGTGAGAGTCATGTTGCTAGAAGAATAAGACAGCTTTCAGGATTTGGCTTCTAGAACTACGATTTTTACGAACTATTTTCATTCCAACACATTAGCATGTATCAAAATGGTAATGCCGTAGTGCTTCTGAAACCATGGATTTCTTTCGCGCTACATCTCCTGCGCTTCAGCGGCGAGGAACGCGCATTATTGAACACAAAGATTAAGCATTCAATTTTTATCAACTCACGATCAAACGAAGAAATGAAGCGAGGTCGAGGTCAAGCTAAGAAGATGCCCAAGGCTAACATAACGCGAAATGACGGAGGAAAAAATTTCAAGGCACCTAGATTGGATTAGAACAGAAATAGGAAAACATGACTTACAAAGGTTTGATGGGAAGAGCAAAATCGCGAACTGTGTTTGTTAAAAAAAACTGGCGCAATGCCAGCAGTTTGAACTCCCGCGTTTTAAAGGACTTCACAAAATAGAAATGGGAGCGCACTTGCCCAATCAATTGCATTGCCATTCACGGGCAATGTGAGGTGATGCACTGTCACAGCTCAGTGTGAAGATGTTTTCCAGTCAGT